AAGGAGACGTTTTTAAGTCACCCACATTTTCTCAGTTCGGTCTCAGATTATAGCGCTGTCTTTCTCCGCTTCTCTTTTTCTACCCCAGTCCATGAAATTACCGGCACTTTTTTTTACATCCTTTCACTCGGCTTGCCTGTCGCCTGCCTTGAGCTGGCTTTTGCAGAAGGAAAAGAAATCTGCACGTGCCCTGGAATATCTGAGGGGCTGTCCCAGAGAAGAGGGGGTCAACTTATTCTTCCGAGGCACCTGAGGGCAGGAGAAGAAGTAACAGATGGAAACCTATCAAGGAGAGATATAAAATCATGCTGAGGCTCTAAAAAGAGTTCAGAGAAGAGCAACAAAGATGATCAGGGGACTGGAGGCTAAAACATATAAGGAACGGTTGCTGGAATTGGGTATGTCTAGTTTAAGGAAGAGAAGGACCAGGGGGGACATGATAGCAGTCTTCCAGTATCTCAGGGGCTGCCCCAAAGAAGAGGGAGTCAAGCTATTCTCCAAAGCCCCTGAAGGCAGGACAAGAAAAAGTGGATGGAAACCAATCAAGGAGAGAAGCAACCTGGAGCTAAGGAGAAACTTCCTGACAGTGAGAACAATTAATCAATGGAGCAAGTTGTGAATGCTCCAACACTGGAAGGTTTTAAGAAGAGACTGCACAACCCTTTGTCTGAAATGGTATAGGGTCTCCTGCTTGAGCAGGGGGTTGGACTAGAAGACCTCCAAGGTCCCTTCCAGCTCTGTTATTCTATATTCTAGCTTTAAAAACACCTGTCTCTCTCCGGTTCACAGCTCCCCTTCAGCCTTTGAGATGGATCTCACTTTGGTTCCTCTTCTTCCTTCTCTCTTTTGCCCAGGACACTCAGAAACCAGCGTCTCCTCCTTGCCTGCTTCGCTGCAGTGTTGGGGAATTTCAGTTTCGGCTTTGCGTTAGTGTACACCTCGCCCGTCATACCAGCTTTGGTGAAATCTCCAGTTCCTAACTTGCAACTAACCAGGGCTACCGCTTCCTGGTTTGGGGTAAGTGGGGTAAATCGAGGAATCGAGCGACCGGATTCGTGACCGCCCCCCCCCTTTTTTTTTTTTTAACAACAGACCTTAAGCAATATTAACCACACATGGTGTTAGTTAAGCAAATCCATTCCCCACCCCAAAGTTCTTTGCTGGAAACTGGAAGTACATACGACTAAAAAAAAAAAAAGAGATTGCAAATTGTGGACCTGGGTCTCTGCCAATGGTGAAGGGGTTACCAAGTGCCCCAGATTTGATCACACGACTGTGGGCCGTTTGTGTGGCTGTCGCAACTCCCAAAAACGGGTTGTAAGTCGCCCTGGCGAGGCCCGTCGTAAATTTGAACTGTGTGATTATAAGTTGAGGATTACCTGTAACTGCTGTTATAGCGATGGCACTCAGACTTATATACCGCTTTACGATGCTTCACAGCCCTCTCTAAGCGGGTTACAGAGCCAGCATCTTGACCCCCAACAATCCTCATTTTACCAACCTTGGAAGGATGGAAGGCTGAGTCAACCTTGAGCTGGTCAGGATCGAACTCCTGGCAGTGGACAGTTTGCCTACAGTGCTGCCTTCTAAGCACTGGTTGTGATTGTGTGGTCTTCTTTGTTGACCTCCTTCCTCTCTTTCTGTCTTCTAGTCCATCTTCACCTTAGGAGTAGCCGCAGGCGGGCTGTGCACCATGTACTTCAACGACCGCCTGGGGCGCAAGCTGAGCATCATGTTCTCCGCCATCCCTTCTGCCATTGGGTACTTGCTCATGGCCAGCGCCCAGGAGGTCTGGATGCTCCTGGTCGGAAGGCTTCTCACAGGCTTTGCGGGAGGAGTGACCTCAGCGGCCATCCCGGTGAGTGTGATCTCCCATGGGTCCTTCTGCTGGAGATCTTGAGATCTTGAGAGTCAGGTTGTCGAGGTTCCTGACTTTTGAGGAACTTCTTAGGGGTTATTCCAGAGGGCTACTCTTGAGTTCCTCTGATGGACCACAGGTCATCCTTTGGCAACCAGGCAGGTGGATGTTCTCATGATGGGTTCTCCCTAAGGTCCCTCTGAGGGGTGCCTAAGTTCATCCCATGGGTCAAAGAGCTGTCCAAGAGTTTCTTGGGACCTTCAGGTGCAGCTGCAGAAGTATGTAAGTTTGAGGACAGCACCAGTTCATGCTTGCAACTGACTTGCTTGTATCCTTCCTTCCTTCCTTCCTTCCTTCCTTCCTTCCTTCCTTCCTTCCTTCCTTCCTTCCTTCCTTCCTTCCTTCGTTCCCACAGTTGTTAAGAGAATCACTGCAATTGTTAAATTAGTAACTGGATTGTTAAAAGAATCCCCATTGATCACATGACCCCAGATACTGCAATCCTCATAAATATGAGTTGGTTGCCAAGC